ATGGACCGCCTCTCCCATGCGTGCTCTATATTCTCCTTGACTATTAGCATCAACAAACTATAATCATGGGTCAAGATGTCATAAAACACTCAATTGTTATTTTTGACAACACTCCCTTTGAGGTAGCCAACGAATTCTGCTACCTCGGCTCAATGGTGATGGATAACCGTCGCTCAAAGAGGAATTAAATGTTCGGATTTGGAGGGCAGCAACCACTTTTGGCAGACTCACTAAGCGTACATGGAAGAATGCCAAGCTAACTATCAAGACAACAGTGCTGATCCACCGAACCTTTGTCCTCAGCACTCTGCTGTACGGTAGCAACAAATGAACCACCTACAGCCACCAAGAGAAGCAGCTCAACATCTCCCTGGGTCCAGAGGCCAGAAACCGGAGTCCGTGGACCAGAGTCCACTGTTTGTGTCACATCCGTGGTTATTACCTGGTAAGACAATCACCGAACGCAGATGGCCTTACGCAGGCAAATTTAGCCACCATATTGGCCCTTCTTAAACAGAGAAGTTGGTTTGAGCATTTGGACAGAATACAAGACAGATGCGTACCTAAAGACATCCTCCCCGGTTCAGGTAGTTAACGCGAAGAGGCCTATGGGTCACCCAAAACTCCAATTTGAAGATGTTTGCAAGTGCAACCTAAGAACCTCTGACATCAACATCAACACGTGGAATGCTATGGCAAGAGTAAGAGAAAACTGGCAAGAGAGATTCTGGTTGTGCTCACGGAACGATGGCGTTAAATGTCTTCAGCACCTTAATAATCACGAACGTCCAACGTAGGGTGCCAGCCATGACTCATCTGCAGGCGACTAAAACTGCGGCAAGCTCTGTCTCTCCAGCATAGGCCTTTACAGCCATCGTATGGAATGTAAATCAAATTGGTAAAGTCTATCACATTCGTAGGAAATGCAAAGCGGCACATTCCATCTTCTGCCTGTGACGGAATTATGCTATTCATTGCATGTGCAAGCAAACTCTAGACCGGTTTCAACATACAGTGTGTCAACAGCAGTCACGTTTGCTTGAATACATGGTTATGATCATATCCACAACGATGCGAATGTTTATTTTGTGTTATGTAATACTGTAAAAAAAGTTTGGCGTCGAACTAGGACCCATATCTTCAAGTACAAGCTCATTTATTAGGTATAGCCCTGTGAGCCATTCGGCTCTTAGAATCGGGTCCTTGCCTATTACATCTGCTGATGCAGCACAGCATGTCAGGGAGACATATGGTCGGCTTATCATGTTCTTCACAACGATGAAATTTAGTATATTTTGTAATTTTTTTACTCTAGTAACTAATTCGTTTCCCATCAAATGGGAATGCAATGCGTTTCACTGGGACCGGCATATAAGTATTTCTGCTTGCCACATACAGTATCGTTTAGACTTGCCATACGTGTGCTAAAATGCACCCCTGGTATGCTGCCTCAGATTAACTGTCCAGAAAACATTAACTTGGTCAATAAGTTTAAACAAAAATGCAGATACTGTACCGTTTAGGCTTACATTGTATTGCAAATGAAATACATCATTACGAAACATCCAATTAGGCAGTTTACCTTGGAAGATGGCAGCATTGCTAGTTATCAAAATATATTTTACCATGCAATATTTCCTGGTATATATTCTACTACAATATACATAATAGCTTTTGACCCAGTCACCTGGAATGCACTCAATTCCATCAGAGCCCAGAGAGTGCTCATGTAGGCGACCACCACGTATATAAACACATTGTGGGCAGCAGAGGCCAGTGTATCAACTCGTATTGTAATTATGTTCTCCCACCTTCACCGACCAGCATGGTGAAATATGTATGGTAAAATAACTCGCAATGCCCGCGTGGTATATTGGGAGGACCTCATTCAGCAGTAAATTGACAAACAGAATGTACATAACAACCAATTAATACAATCTGGAGAGCAGAAGGCCCATAATCACAACGCCATAGGTGTAAGTCAGTCCAAATTGACTGAAAGGGTCAGTGCAATTTAATCACCTCCTGCTGAGCATTTCTTCGTGACAAGTCAACAATGGTCATACCTGTGCAGAGATTTCACCTGATAAAACAACATAGAATTTCTACCACAGACTCCGGGCCACCAAGATAAAATATTCCAGAATAATTATGGTTATGTTTTCAGGAAGATTTACTCACAGGTAAGGCCCACTGAGCTATATAGCTCTTTTTCAGAAGTGACCTGGCCACAAATGATGGCTCAACGAAGTGGCTTATTGTGTGGAAATGTATAGGAGCCAAATGCTCGAAGCGCATATTTCTAAATGTGGAGGGGTAAAATCAGAGGACTCGGAGGAAAATCTACGCCACCACGGGGAGAACATGCGAACTACAAATATGCAGGCGTCAGGGTAGGGATCGATCCCACGGCCTCCTGCATACCAGACAAGGCAGCTATCATCTCGCCACCATGGCGCCCAAGAAGGATCACTATACGAGGTGGAGCGGTGTCTCAGTCACGCGCGGTTCTTCCACTAGGGGCGTTGTGGCACCGCCCCACCAAGCAAACTGGAGATGAGAAATAATTTTTATAAGAAAAATACTTTTCTTTAAATTGTTTTGTTGTGTTAAAAAAAGTATTTCGACGTAGATTGCCTAATGAAGATAACATTTTAAGTTGTTCATATCAGAAACCGCTGCCACACCACAGTCTGATTTGTGCCTCGGGGAGGTCTCTGGTGGCTGTGAAGGCGTCTGAGTGAGAGATTTCCACTTCAATCATTGCGATGAACTTCTCGCATTGTAGCCACGCCGTTTGAGACCCATTCAGGGCGGTGAAAAGGCGCCCATGGCTGCAATGACGATGTCACAACGCGAGTTGGCACTGTGCAAATATATCAGGTCACGGCCTGCACGCTCTCGGAGTAAACAAATGATGTTAGTTGCCACAGATAGCAGACAGTGACCACACACTGAAACATGTTCTCGTGAAAAGTACGTAAATAGAAGGCCTTTGTGCATTGCATTAATGTCGTCAGTGAATACAGATCAAAGCTTTTTGTGTAGGTGGGTGTACGACGGTGTGTGGCTGTTATTGTACAGTATGTAGTGTCTTGGTTGCCTTGACTAATTTGTTGAGTCGTGTCAGCTGATATGTAATTGTTCTTCCGGCTTTTGGCAGTGACAAATGGGTTTTGTAGTGTGGACTTGAGTACCATGGGGACAGCATTTGAGTGCTATGTTGTTTTGTTTAGTATTGTTTATTAATACCTATCGTTGGTAGATAAGACAGTTTTATCACTTTCACGGGAATGCCAGTAAGCATGAGGTTTTCTTAATTAGAACACCATCTTTTCATAGGTCACTCACAACAGCCCCACCTAGTGGAGATGTCACGAGCCGCCACTGGTCTCAGTGGTTCTTGCGAGGGCATCCCAGCAATCAGAGTTTAAATTAGCCACGGATAACTTAAACTCAAATTGGCAGTCGAGTGAGAAACTGATATACCGGACCAACTGAGTCCGTATGTTCTAAATGCCTCTTGCAAACAAGAGACTCGGTGAAGCTCAACTAATAATGTTGGCGCAATCACAGGCAACAATTCTACAGCTTGGGAAGTTGCATTTGGCAATTTTATGGACGGATCTAACGTATTTTTGGGGTTTTCTAGTGACTTTTGTCGATAAAGTTACTCCAGACAAATGAACAACTTTGGAATCAGTTTACTATGGTAAATGGTCTTTATAAATATTTGATGACACGGTTTATCAAGATCTATGGTAGTGTATTTGTAAGTTTTGTTTGACGATTTTCCATGAATAATGTGTTGATATCCTTTTTTTTTATAATTAGCAATGTTCAATCCACTGCTGGATGAAGGCCTCCCCACGCTGCTGCCACATCTTGCGATCCTGCAATGTAATGATGATCCACCCAGCAGCTGTACACAAACTCATTTTATAACTCTATGTGCTTGGTGTAACATCCTCTAGATTTTCACATACATGCCGGCGTTTGCATAACAATACAGTATATGGTTGCATTCTATGATGTAATCAGGTCTCCATCGAAAAAATAGTATTTATTGCCCGAAGGGTGTTTTTTTACCTGCGCCAAAATAAATCCAAGTAATTAAAACCTAAATTACTTAGACTCAAAACACGCGTTAAGAAAATTAATAAGATATCAAATAAATCGTCAACAACACCGACTTAAACTATATTTAAAAGCAGTATTATTTTTTGGGGTTTTAGTTGGGCGCAGGTGAAATCTTTTGGGCAATACATGTTCATTTTTGACAGATAGAACAGAGCTATTGCCAATAATACGTGTGTATGTTTATTTATTTTTAATGCAGTGATATTGAGAAATTAGTTTTATGTTCTTTGTGCTTGTGATCCACTTCCAACGCGTCATCAAGTAATGAGCGAATTAAATATAATGTACTGTATATATATAAAGAAACATTGCTGATAATCGCATATATACACCTAAATACAGAACACCAAACAGAACAGCTTTCGTGTGTATTGAAAATGTTTGTCCTTCCCCCCACCTCCGATGAACACGGTTGGCTACGTAGGGTGCGAAAGAAGTTAAATATACATAACAGGTTTTTTTGGGTTAGATCGCATAAATATAAATGTGTCGTTAAGCCCGCCACCACCCGACACAGCAAATTCATAAGGTTTGTCACGTAAACAGAACATGCCAATCCGTTACCAGCACAGCACACCGGTGTGTTGGAGAGCAAAGCCACAACATTTACAATCTCCAGTAATTACAACTAGCTTCATTAGGCCAACAGCAATGTTTTTTTTAACGACACTTTTTTATTTTTTATTTTTACATTTTTTTAAAAATTTTGACACTTTATATTTTTTTAACAACACTTTTTTTAACGACACTTTTATGTATTTCTGCGAAAGTCTCTGTGTTTAAAGTTCAACACACGCGTTTACACACTCACACACAGAGTGCGTCCGTGCCACCCGGGTGACTTTGACTTGGAGCAGCAGGAGGAGTTTGCAACGCTGCCCCCAAGTGACCCACCACCCAGTGCCGCCACGCACAGGCAGCAGGCGCCTGCCACGACCGGCCCGGTGCTTCGCCAACTTCGTTTTCCGAGCACTGTCACAACCCTTTGTCGGAACCGTGTAACGTTAGCCATTAGCACAACAGCAACAGGCTACTAACAAAGGACATTATTATCGGGGACGTTTAACGTTTAGATAAGACACCGGGTGCATTTCGGGCCTGAGCGTCTCGGCCTAGCTCTCCCTGCCGGCGTCCCTCCGCCTCGCTCGGTATCACGATCTAGGCAAGCGCGGGGGCTGAGCGTCTCGGCCTAGCTCTCCCTGCCGGCGTCCCTCCGCCTCGCTCGGTATCACGTTCTAGGCAAGCGCGGGGGCGGGCGGCGAGAGACACCGCGAGAGATGGCGTCGGAGGTTCGCGCCGCGTTGCTGCGCCGTGACCCCGTGAGCGCCGCCAGGGAGGTTCTCTACCACCTCGACATCTACCTGTGCGGACAGCTGCAGAGCTACACGGTGCCCACCGTGGACAGGGCCATCGTGGAGCTGCTGGAGGAGTTCATGTTTCAGGAGCCGCACGACCGCGGCCTCCACCCGGCCAAGGTGAACCAGACCGTGACTTGAGCTCCACGATTAAGGCTTGGGAATTGCGTTAATTGATCATTAACGAGGCTGTTTTAATAGTGTAAGATGTACAGTATGGACCGGCACGATGACTGGGATAGGATCATGGTGCTTGGGTTGTGGCAATTAGTGTTGTGAGATGGAGAGGCAATGGTGAATAATTTTAAACAATATACATCTCATTTGCCAATCAACGGGTGATGATGGGAGGTCTTCCCACACCGTGTCGGTGGTGGCAGTTGTTTTGGCCATACTTCCCCATGCTGGTCGTTGCGAATAGGTGACGGGGAAGGAGGCTCCGAATCGGTTCTGTGTTCGCTATTTGGTGAACGGTGCAGCACCGCGCTTCCCCGTCGTCAGTCAAGATCAATCCACTGCTGGACGAAGGCCATCTGTCGCGATCAGGCGATGAAATTTTCCACCTAGCACCTGCACACGAGCTGATTTATCGCTCTATCTCCACAGGGGATGGCATCTTGAGACGCGTTTCATGCCTTGGCTGCCACTGAATGATTTTGACTGGCTCAGGTCCGTAAAGAGATGGGCACCGCCTCATTTGTTTGAGCGTGAAATTACTTTTGTTAGGGCTGCGGTTAAAGTTAATCATGTGATGAGTTTGGTTAATGTAAAGTCTAATTTGTAAGTCGTGAGTTATTAGACCATTCTTCACCTCGGTGTTCAATACAAGTTTGTTAATGTGGAGGATGTAGAGAACAATCAACTTTGCTGCACTACCCTCTACTGCCCACAACACCTGCAATTGTACATGGCGGTTGTCCATCCAAGGCTCAAACCTTCTAAGCTTCCAAGGTCTGGTGAATTTGGGTGCATGTCCGGTGATATGATCATAGATGATTTGGGTTTTGTAGGGTTATTGCCATCTAGGTCTGTACCTCTACATGCCACAATTTCAAAGCTCAATGTCTCTTTCTTCCATAGCAGAAGCTGTCATGCGTACAGGAGCTGCAGCTGCTTGACCTCATGTGCAGCTACTTCCAGGAGCAGAGCAAAGACGCTGTCCGGCAGCTCGTATTCTCCACACTCTTCAGTCCGCGTGGCAGCAGGGCGGACGGCACGCGCCTCTCTCTGCTCAGCAAGCTCGTCTCCATGGCCATCGCGCTGGGTCGCTCACCCGTGCTGGACTGCGCTGCTGTCTGGATGCAGGTAACAATGTCGGGATGCGACTCATGTTGTAGGACATGTAATTGTGGGATCAACAAAATAAGTCTCACCTCTGTTCTAAAGTGTACTGTTGGATGGGAGGTGATTTGCGTGACTTAGTGACGTCATTGGCATCAGTAACATAATGCAGGACGTAGCTTAAATGTACAATTTTATATATAGTGATAATTTTCATCGATTCATTGTGTATGTATCAGTTCATAATTCAATGCATAGAACTTAGCATACACATTTACTCGAGGGGTGTTTGTTGCAATATCCTGCTACTAGGTGTAAAGTTGTATAACACAACTTTACAAATATTTCAATGGCCTAATGGGAATCAACTGTAGTGTCTCTAAATATTGATTCATTGTAATAGTCCCCACACCACTGCAACTACTTCAGAGGCCTCAAATGTAGCAGTAGAGTTGGTGTGCATTCTAAGTGGTGTAAATCTTGTTCTTGCGGGTTTCAGAGGACACCTGTTGGGTACTGCGTTGACCTCGCCAAGTCGTTGGTGGAGGATTACTGCAACCTGATTCCAGGCTCCATTACAACACTCCGCCAAATGGTACAGTCCAGCCCACGCTTCTACTGCCAGTTCATCACCGCTGTCACGGCGTTGTACGACTTCAGTTCTGGTGGGTGCCAAACACTTTGAAAACATTACATTTCTAGCATCCATTTCTAATTGTAATTTATGGTTGTAAGACAACATTTTAAAGCGTAGTATGGTTTGTTCAATTATTATGTTTATAAAAAAAATAATTTTAGTTAGAGTGAGGTGGATGGTAGTAGCAGCACTGGGCCGTGAGGGATGCCAATGGTATGCAGAGGCCTTCATCCAGCAGTGGATAGACAGTGTTTGATGATGATGATGAAGTAAACATTAAATTATTATTTGAAGCTTTCGTATCTGCAGGAATCCATACTCTTTGGTTCTTTCGGTAAAGTCACGTAGATAGAAAATTAATAGATCACGACGTTTCGATCGCAACACAAGCAACCGTCATCAGGTGAAACAAACACAGCAGGAGAACTGCTGACGTGCTACGTGACTTTACCGAAAGAACCAAAGAGTATTAAATTATGAATTTACAGAGGTTATTCATTCTCTCCCATTCCATAAAATCCACTGTCCTTGTAGACTCACACACACCGCCGGAGAGCCTGCTGGAGACGGTGGTATCGTGGGTGTGCGACGACCCACGTCTCACGCTCTACAACTTCCTCAACAGCCCCATCCCAGCTACAAGCCCACCGGGGTACCTGGAGCTTACACCTATAGCAGGACTCATGCGCTGGTGCATCAAAGCACCACTGGCCTGCCACCATCGCCGAAGCAAGCAAGCTGCAGGTACGTCATTGCAAAGAGCTACGATACACTACAGAAATGCAACGACAGTCATCACTGGTGGGCATCACCAGCAATAGTTGTGGCATCATGTTATAAATAAATAAAATTGCTTGCCCGAATCTGGACAAATCTGATTACGATTCCACTGAATGGGCAACTGGAATATAAACTTGCAATCAAATAAGACACATTATTTAGTGATACTGCATTGGTAGTGGTGCACAAGCACAAATAACAAAAAACTGACACGTTCGTCAATATTACTGCCTTGAAAATATAAATATATTAGAGGTGATGTTTTGGGAAAAGGCCCTTCATATTGCAACATGACAGACATGTCAAATGACCACCCAAGGTTGCAGTCTGTAGACCAATCGCTGTTGACTAACGCCTGTGTTCATTGGCTGGACAAAACTACGTCACCCTGTCATTGTTGTACCAAGATGCTCACGTGAATTGTAAATGTGTTTGTTGCCAGTGTTTTTGCCAAAATATTGTTCGTGTATCATTACCTTAGAAATTGTATCACTCATATCAATGTTTATGGACAGATTAAAAACTCCACCAAGTATCATGTTTAAGGAGATCCTGCGATTTACCTTTTCTTGACCCAGTGTACAAGCTTCAGCATTGTTTCTGCAAAATGTGCCTTCATTGAAACTTGTCTTGAATTTGGTGTGTGGTTTGGCCGAATACTCGTATGATAAAACCAAAAACAGGTGCTTTGATGTATTTCCTAAATAATTTATAATGGATACTTTCAGCTGTTATACATATTTAAGTACCATGGAGAGAGTGGGGAGTTATGATTAAAATCGCAGTTGATTGCTTTGGGCAGTTAAGTGTTTGATACTGGTGCCTTCAACTTATGAAACACCACATCTTTCTACATCCTGCATTTCCTTTCCTTCCGCAGGTGAAGACTCTTCATGTGCACGTGTGCAGGACAAGGAAGTGCTCCTGATAAAAGAAGAGGATGAGCAGGGAGCACCGGTCAAGGATCTCAACATGATGTACTCACGTCTTCATTTGGGAGTGCTGCAGGTGTGATCACCACATTTTACGTTTCCATTTTTACACTTCATTACACATAAGGGAAGATCAATGACTGCCAATAAAACCAATGAGAAGTACATCTACTGTTTGGGAACCTTTGGACTATTACATCTTTGTTTTGTATCATTGCAACTGTATTTTACTTTTTATATAATGTATTCTCCAGATTATAAAATGCTCTGGAAAGTAAAATTATAAAATGCTCTGGAAGGTAAGATGCACCCCAAAGCTCTGCTGTTTCAATAACGTATATAAAGTTGGTCACACAGCTATCAGATTATAAGACACCCCCATCTTTTGCTTTAAAATACTGCAGTAAAAATATTATTAAGAGTACTGAGAATGTTATTTAAGCAAAAAAATATTAATTGGATCACAAAAAAATATGCCGATCCAGGAAAAACGCCGAATATGCACAAATATTGATACCTCATTTTTTATGCATTTGTAAATAAAGAACATAACATCATCATTCACCTGGCTGGGCGGTTGTGTAGGTGCTGCAGCTGTTGTACAGCCATCTGGCTGAGAAGAAGCTATTAGGCCGCCTGCCGCTGGTGGCCTTTGAGCAGGTGACGCAGCTGGCAGCCGACCTGCGCCGTGCCGCCGAGCAGGCCAACCCGCTCGGGGCCGCACCGCACACGGAGCTTGCGCTGGACAGGTTTGCACAGGCAGTGCAGGTGGCGATGGCGATGGGAGCTCTGCTCTGCACGAGAGGTCAGTAGCGAAATACCCAATGGCAACCTATCCATCTTTCACGTTTTTTTCAAAATTAAGTCTTTCAGAATTATTCCCATACATCATGAACCTTTAGGCATCTGATTTTTGTTTTCATCTGTTGAGGTGATTTTCTGTTGTTGGCAATGTGTACACTTTTGTTTAAAATGCAATTCCACAAGGTTAATTTTGCAGTGTAGAGCATCACAAGCAGTCTCCGGTTGAAACTTTGGACAAGTTTATGGATATTTGATATTAATCTCACCAGTATTTATCACAAGGAAAACAGTATATTCTTACATATCATTTTCAATATTTTGGCTTTTACAGATGCAATGCAGATGATTTATTTGCACGTGAAAAGTGCATGGCTAAAATAGATGTTTACGGAGTTTTCGTGTGTTGATGCGTATTCATGCAATTTTTATGTACACTTTTTTTATTGCACCAATGTTCAATGTACTATTTTAACTTAAGTCTCCAAATTGATTTTTTTAACAGATGACCTTCGAAAAGTGTGCTCTTCCCTCCCTCCCAACAGGTAAGCCGTGAATGTTGAATTATGAACATCACCTTTACTGCTGTTTTGAGGCTGATAGTCCTCTGTACTCTATCACTTGCCTACTACCAAATCACCTTGATTGTACACAATCCCATCGATCTCGGAACTTTTATTAGGGTTGAGTGGTTAATATACGATTGGGTAGCCACCAGGGCTTACCAGATGTGGGAAATTGGCTGTGCGGTGCATCATGGTAGTTTGGAGTTGAGCTCCATGATCCTGGAACAATCGTATTCTATTCCTGATTCCATCCTGGACGAAATCGTGATTTTCTAATGGACAATTCCCATGTTAATCTCCATTCATGGACATGCGTGAACATGTTGCGTTTACATGAGCATCTCATCATGTTGTAGTCCTAGTGGTCTTGAGTAAGCCTGGTGGTCGTCCCAGTTGGCCAGTAATCTTGAGTGTTATAACCCACGGGATGAATGGCGCATGGTTGGCTACGTATGGTGCGAAAGAAGTTCAACATGCATAAAAATAGTTGTCCCAGGCAGCTGTAGCGCATGGAGTCCCCTGCTGGGCTATGGAAGGCAGGGCTGCCCTCTGTATAGACTGGGCCTCCACTAAAATCAGACCTACAGCTCCAACATTTTTATCAGTATGCAACACTGGAATGATCTGAGAAATTGCTTTTTTCTGCTACAGCCTGCTGCAACTGGTCCTAGCCGGTCCCGTGCAGTCTACACCTGGACCTCCCCAAGGGCACTACTCTCACATGCACCCAACGGCAGCATATCCCACTCAGTCCTACAGTCCAGGTGTCACCTTCCCTTACAGGCAGGGGCCCTGAGTGCTGCCTGCACATCAATTAAAACATTTTAAATTATCACCCAAGACTCGCATTACAATGCTTGATTTTGTATTCAATGTACATATTAAAACGGAGCGGTCTTTTATATCAGTTGTTACAGCACACAGGCTTGCGTGGCCAAGGATGTAAACTTTATTTTCGTATTATCTGATGTCCATCCTCTCACAAAACAAGTTTGATCGAAACACATGTTGTAAAAATGTACCTTCTGTTCTAGGATGTTCGCAAATGTGTATAAAGCGAAACGCTGTTTTTCTAAGGTTCAATAAAATCTGATCCAAAACTACCTGCTTGTTATGTCACATTCCGGGTCAAATGTGCATCAACAAGCTTTCAATACAAATGTTAGGACTATTATACAAAAGGTAATTTGTAGCATCAATAGACTACACATGCTATGTACAGCTATGCACTGTTAACGCCTCAGTAAGGTCTGAACTTGCGTTGAGCTTTCATGAGTGCAATCTTCTGCTTGTCTTCCTCAAACCTTCTCCTCAGCTGGGCTATGTCTGTAAGAACATAAGGTATAAAAACAAATATTAAAGCATTTTCTCTTTGAACTTTTTAAAATGCAGATGTTATGAGGGGTCGTGCTCACTCCTGTTAGGTGCACTGAACCAGTGATAGCATTTTCACATTCATGGCAGGGGCCATTTTAACCAAAGGATGCCGTTCAGTTGCAGTTAAGTTCTCATCGGACTTGAATGCGGCTTAGTTGGGCCCAACCTTGAATCTCGATTTATTATATATTTTAAATGTACATATTTGTTACATATTTGGCAGTTTGATTGAGAGTTGTGTTCTAATCACGTGTATATGGCTACGTAAGCAGTGCAATGCTGTACTGTCAAGTACACAGGCCCAACTGTGTGCCAAAATACTTACGCTCGCGCTTTGATTCACGCTGCTGCCAGGTATAAAAGTTTAAGAGCTCCTTGCGTTCCCGTTTGCGTCGTTCACGCTCCATGATCCTGTTGCCTGACGGTCTCAGTGCGCCTCAGGCCTGGTTTGCGACCCTTGTGAGTCACCTTGATCCAGCCCTCTTCATCTGGGACTCCCGCATCCGCCTCTGCAGCTGCGTCTTCCTGCAAGAGGCAAGGAACCATTGGGTGATACCTATGGAGTGAGAGGACCAGATTTAGAAGGTGAAGGCAGGGGGAATTTAAGGTTCAGAGTGCAATGCAACTATTAAAGGATTAAAAGCAAAATCATTTTTTTCAGTTTTAAGTAATTTCTTGGGGTCAAATGTGTTCAAAATGTTAATGTTCACAAAATTCTGATCACATCTGCAGTGAACACCATACAACAATGTGTAACCTATATATTTCCTAGGGGCTTCCAATTTGCAAAAAACTGAATTGTGAATTGGTCACATCCTCTGGAGAGGACTGCAACAAAAGTGGGGGCATGTGCACCCAAGATGAATTTCCAGCAAGTCATGGCAGTCCACCCCAGTGGACACGATGCATATTGGGAAATATGCAGTATTATGCCACTGCAGAATCAAAAGCATGCCCTTACCTTTTCCAGTTTCTTATCATGCAGCTGCATAAATGCGTCCACATCTTTCTGCAGATCCGTGGGGTTCACAAGGGCAGACCGATATTCTTCTGCCCATTCTATAATCACAAACACATGTTATCCATGAACGCCGCCCCAGACAGAGCATATAATTTGTGATTAAACAAAAACGTAAAGCAGACTTACTCTTTATGCCGACAGAAATGGGACATTTCTGCGTACTGAACACAAATGGCTCGATCGTGGGAAGATTCATGGCGTTAATCAGTCCTTGAGGATTCTTGAACACCACATAGGCCACCTTGAATCCCTGAATATCAGAAACAATTATCACAAATAAACATCATCAACTGTATTTTTTAACCTTAAAAACGCAGTTAAGCTTTACAGGCATGATGAAATATACAATTGATAAAGTAATCATAGGTGCAGAAGATGGATTGTAACTGCACTATATTAAAAGCAATGTGAAAGAGGCTTTAAATAGTTTACTAAAATATGTTTTTCTCAGTATCAAATCCTGCTTGTAAAAAAAGTACTCATGGATTATGCAAATTATATTTAAAAGTGATAATTTGGCAAATGGGACAGACTAGAGCATACAAAACTGATAATATATTATCCAAGACACATTGTGATACTGAATTGACAATTTAGCAAAATAAGGGGAGTGGTGGGGTTGTTACACTTTATTCAAACATTAACATGGATGAAAAATTTAGTTTAAATCGTCAGTTTAAGACAATACCTTGGTGCAGTGAATGTCAAAGAATTTGGAGGGGGGTGTAGATTTAGCCGGCAAGGCGCCTGGCTTCTGCTGGAGATACACGCCACGTACTGCTCCACACCTAGAAAAGGCTGTTTTCAGGCTCTCCTGCCATACAACCGATCAGAAAAATGAAAAGTTACCGAACGTCATAATTTATAATGCACCTTTATAAATGACCTAATGGTTAAGCAAAAATTGGGAAAAACTGTTTTAAGTGCAACTTGGGTACAAGCAAACGGATGCGTCATGTTTGGTAAGTAATTTACTGGCATTCAATTACAGCTCTGTTGCATCAATTTTCAGACAAAAACCACACGGCCTTACCTTCGTGCCATACGGAGGCACATTGAGCACAAACAGGGTTTTGTCTGTGGGCCTGGATGTGTCACTGCCATCCCGGACTTTGTGTTCCTTGATGTAAAGGAAATGACAGGAGTCGCTGCTCTCTGAAAACTTGGCAGGGAGTACTGTGGCGAAAGAACATGGCAAAAGCCACAAGAATGTAAATACACCGTTGAACAAGGATTTGCTACATGTATATTTCTGCATCAACTGATGCCTCGACACCCTGCCAGCGCTTCACATAACCTGCTCTCAATGTATGTTCAATGAATTACACCGTAGGTACTTACATAGTGACTATTAAAAGACAAAGATCACCTGTACAGCCTGTAACTGTTGGGGCAAGTGCTGTTCGCGAGCACCTATGAAGACCGGCACAGCGCATGAGCGAGCGGCTGGGTGGCCAACACCATGCCCGGCCGCTTTTGTAGCCCTCATGGCGATGTTTACACACCGCAGCAGGTACTCATTTGAGGCTGGGTCGACCTATCTGAGATAATCGTCGATGGCCATGGCCAGGTCCGTAGCGCAGCGCGCTAACCGCTCCACCACCATGAACATGTGCACACATTCAACTCCTCATTTGAGTGGGCCGGGTACAAGGATACACATATCCCTCGATCGCAAAACTCGCAAGCAAAAATACACGACCATCGAATGCTTTTTTCTCTATTCTCACAAGCAAACGGGACCGTGTCACCTCGGAAGCCCCCCGAGAGCGCGAGCGTCTCGAGAGAAGAGTCGCCAGGCGACGCGGCGTGCTTCTTCATGGGCGGCGCCATCTTTCTTCCTCCGTGGGTGCAACGCGCGCGGCCTTCTGGGTAGCGAGCACGTGATCAAAGTCGAGCCCTCCCGCCCCCAACGCCCCCGAGCGGGTCACGTGACTTCCTCCTCGCTGGGCGCGCGCTCGCACGTGCGATCCACGTGGATGGCGGCGCGCACGTGGTCGAGCCAAGAGGGGGCGCTACAGCACAACGCGTGGCCCAATGTTCATCCGCCGTCGACCCGTCGACCCTTCTTGCGGGATACGCGTATGGGGGTGGCAGTGTTCCCTCGTCGCGAAGCCCCCGCGGGCCACTGGGGGCCCCTGGTGGCCCCATGTGCGGCCTCCGACAATAACAAACAGATCCCCCCGTATGGCCTGAACAGACTGTGCGGGCACCTATGGAGGCCGGCAGGGCACGCGAGGGGGGGTGGGGTGGCCAACACTACGCCCGGCCGCCTTTGTCTTCCCAGTGGCGATGTTTACACACCGCCCCATGTACTAATTTGAGGCTGAGTCGACCTAGGGGATGCCCATGACCGGTTCAGACATTTGTCACTGGTGTTGGCCGTGAGCGGGAATCGAACTCGGGTGGCCGGGTTCGTAGCGCAGCGCGCTCACCGCTACACTACCGCCCTCCACCAACAATACACAACATGTGAAAGTAGGCCCTCTGAAAATTTGCGAAGAACGCTGTTGTGGACGATTGTCCCTTTCGGTACGTGTCTGGGATAGAGCAGTGCTTCTTTCGTATGGCTGGTGTAGATGTTATACATTTACACACGATAAGCCACTTTGTTGAGCTATCATTTGTGGCCAGGTCGCTTCTGAAAAATAAGTTAATAGCTCAGTGGGCTTTACCTTAAACAAAATCTTTAGTTTTGTTTGTATTTTGTTTACTGGTTTGTTCACCTTTACTCCGATTGTGTTTTTGTATTGTTTGTTGTAATGTTCTGACCCGCCTCCAGTGACATCTGTGAAAAGGAGCTTATAGGTCATCGGATTCTCCCAGTGTAAATACATATTCAGATTTTCATACAATTTCACATTCATGTGATCACGCCAGGGCAGCGGAGTGTAATGTCTCCTTCGTATTTGTGAATTGGGCATTGCGTCGTGATATGTTGTATGGTCTGTTCTGGATCACCACAGTCGCACACTGGAGAGTTCTTAACTTTCAATTTTTGTGCATCAGGTATCCAGATCTGCTGCCATAGTTTGTGCGGATGCGATTTAGGGTGGACCATGAGCTTCGTGGAAGATCAAACCCGGGGATCGTCTGCGTTTGGGTTTTCACAACCGGTGTGTCGCACCAAAGCTTCATTTGGCGTGCAACAGGATGTTCGGAATTCCGGTTCTGTCTGGGAAAGAACCTCCATCCCACACTCCCATCCCCCTGCACCTCTCCATGCGAAGTGCAGCAGACAGCCGTCAGTCACCACCCCCGTCCCTCTCAACTCCCCCGGTCAGGCAATCGCAGTTGGCCAGAACACGAAGACACAAGCAGACGGACATGGAGACACACGCAGAGATGTACAAAGACAAAGATCCCCCACCATAGCCTTAATAGACTGTTGGGACAAGTGCTGTAAGCGAGCGACGATGAAGGCCGGAACGGCACACGAGGGTGGGTGGCCAGCACCACGCCTGGCCGTCTTTGTCTCTCCAGTGGCGAAGTTTACACATCGCACCAGGTACTCATATTAGGCTAAGTCAGTATAGTTCTTGATAAATCATGGCAATTCTTATTTAATTGTGGCAATGTTTAATTAATCATGCGAGTTCTTATTCATACCAAATGATCAATATTTCCCATTTATACCAAGAAGTGCCAAGATCTGTCAACACAATGGCAATATTTATAAAAAATAAAATTGCTAAGATTTATCAATAATTATCAGCCATCTGACAGACTGATGATAGTCAGACTAGTACTGGACAGTGGGGTTGTACAGGTAGGAACAACAGTACCACACTGCCCACCAGGGATTATTTGTCTGTCGTGCATAGCCCCTCCCAAACATGTACGCTCCCGGATTGGTTGAAGTGCGTCACGTGACCGCGAGCTGGCCACTTCCTGTTGTGGTGCGCCCCGCATCTCAGAGGCCCGAGAAGCAGCAACATGACGGCCACAGCGCCGGAGACGCAGCCACGGAAAGCTGACGGTCGATCCACTCACACACGGCTCACTCATACACACAGCTCACTCACACTCACTCACACACAATCGCATGCAGCTCAGAAGAGACGGGTGAGTCAGAGTGAGGCAGAGCCATGCTCCGTCCACTGCTGCCCCAAGGGACCCCCGTGCTCTCCACTCCAGGTAGGAACAACAGGTTCCACACTGCCCACCAGGGATTATTTGTCTGTCGTGCATATTTGTCGTGCACGAATGCGCTGTCCAACCAAGTTCCTACCTGCCCACTCCGAAGGAACGTGTTTAATGTGGTGTGTGCATATTCCCGCAGATGAGCTGCACTGGGCAAGAGAAGGATGCACTTTGGGCAGGCGCGGTTCGTCCATTCGGGGCGGCTGGAGATGAGAAATACTTTTTCTAATAAATACTTTTCTATAAGTTTTATGTTTAAGTTTTATATATAACGATTATTTCAACGTTAATTGCCGAATCAAGATTACATTTAAAGTTGCCTCGGGGAGGTCTCCGGGCGGCTGTGAAGTCGTCCGACTGCGAGATTTCCCTTCAATAATTGCGATGAGTTTCTAGCATTGTAGCCACGCCGTTTGAGACCCATTCAGGGCCGTTAAAAAAGGCGCACATGGCTGTAATGAGACGATGTCACAACGCGCGGTTGCACTGTGCAAGTATAGCAGGTCACGGCCTACACGCGCCAGGAGGAAACAAATGATACTAGTTGCCACAGGCCCACAGACAGCAGACAAACAGTGACCACACAACGAAAAATGGTCTCATGAAAAGTGAAGTAAACAGTAGGCCTTTGTATATTGTATTAATGTCGTCAGTGAATACAGATCAAAGCTTTTTGTGTAGGTGGGTGTGCGACGGTGTGTGGCTGTTATTGTACAGTATGTGGCGTCTTGTTCTTTAGGCTTTTGGCAGTGTCAAAGGGGGTGTGTAGTGTGGACTTGAGTGTCATGGGGACAGCATTTGACTGCTTTGTTGTTTTGTTTCCTGTTGTTTATAAATGCCTGCCGTCGGTAGGTAAGACTTTCACGGGAAGGCCAATAACATGACGAGGTTTTTTTTAAATTGGAACACCATCTTTTCAGAGGTCACTCACAACAGCCCCACCTAGTGGAGATATCACGAGCCGCCACTGATTTTGGGAGAACTTAAACCAGGAGTTTCAGAGCTTACCGGTAGATGAAGCAGTGGTGATAGGTGCAGACTTAAATGGAATAGTGGGAAGAGGTAAGGACGGATATTAAAGGAATCACGGAGAATGCGGATATGGCAGTAGGAATGGGGGAGGAGAGGAACTTCTTCGAATGGCCCAGGCAAATGAACTTGCAGTAGTGAATACTTCCAGAAGCAGGAGGGACATTTGATGACCTACCAGAGTGGAGAGGCGAAGAGCCGGATATATTTTATGTTGGTGAAGGAGGAAGCACCTGAAAGGGGTGAAGAACTGCAAAGTGATCCCTGGAGAGTTTTGTGTGACAGGACAACATCGACTACTTGGGGCAGATTGCGTAGCGAAAGGTGTTAGGAAGAGGAAGGTGAGACAAAATAACTGTAGCAGGGTGAAGTGGTGGCGACTAAACAATGAGAAAGAAAACTTCTGCAGGCAAGATATGCATAACTTAAACACGTTCCTTCGGAGTGGGCAGGTAGGAACTTGGTTGGACAGCGCATTCGTGCACGACAGACAAATATGCACGACAGACAGACAAATAATCCCTGGTGGGCAGTGTGGAACCTGTTGTTCCTACCTGTATAAGCGTCAGGCCTAGGGGGAGTGTGAATTAAATATGAGGAGAACTGGTGAGTGGAAGACTGACAGCAGCAGGCAGTGCAAGTGGGAGTGAGCAAAGGAAGACAGATGCAACAGAAGGAAACACGGTGGTAGAGTGATGAAGTGCAAAAGGCAACAAGTTTAAGAAGTGGCAGTGAGAAGAGAGGCAAAGCGAGTGGTAGCAGTGACAAAAACAACAGCATTTGCACAACTCTATCGGAAGCTTGACAGCAAAGAAGGTGAGAAGATGGTATACCGTTTGGCAAGAGCCAGAGAGAGAAAGCTCAGGGACAGCGACCATGTGAAATTCGAACAGTGAAGGACGAACAATCTTAGATGAGATCAAGGTTAGAGAGAGATGGAAAGAGTACTTTGAGAAGCTGCTGAATGTGCGATATGGTTGAGGTACATCAAATAATTGAAGTAGTTGCAGATACTATTCCCCAGAGAAGAGGAAGTGGAGGCTCTGGAGAGCACGAAACATCAAAAAGGCAGTAGGGCCAGATGAGATTCCAATTCATGTGTTTAAATGAATGGAAGAAAGGGGTGTTGAGATATTGATGGGGCTGTTGGGGAAAATCTGGATGGAGAAGACAATGCCGAATGTGTGAAGAGATAATACAGTGGTTCCCATCTTTAAAGGGAAAAGTGATGTGCACGAGCGTGGAAACTACAGAGGAATAGCATTGATGAGTCACACCGTGAAACTCTGGAAAGGATCACAGAAAGGAGACTGAGGAAGCTGGTGGATATTGGCGAGAGTCCGTTTGGATTCAGACAGAGAAGGCCAACAATGGGTGCGATCTTTGCACTGAGAGTATTGATGGAGAAGTTCAGAGAGAAGAAACGGGGCCTGCATGTCGGTGTTTATTGATCTAGAGAAAGCGTACGACAGGGTGCCTAGATATCTCATCTGGTGGCATATGAGCAGAAGAGGTATTCCTGAGGTATATGTCCGCAGTGGCGGCTCCTGCAAAATCTCTCAGGGGGGGCAAATGTCTGGATGATTGATAAGGATAAGGTCCACCCATGCAATGGATAAATTAACAGCTTAAGCATGTAAAGGCAACTTCACTACTTTAATATTAATGAAAAATAAAGTGACTCTTACAATACATCTCCTTGTTTGTTTCTATACTCACTATTATTACAATCCACTCGGTTTCTTTTTATTAAAGATTCCACTAGGTGGCGACAAATAATATTGTTGACTGAAACGTGCTTACGTATGATGACGTAAGCACGTTAGTGCGAGCCCTCCCGGAAGCCATAGAGAATGCATTGCAGCGCCCGCCGTTCGAAAAAAAACATCTTTGAATGTAAGTCTATGGGAACACTCTGGGCGATTCTCAGCCGGAGTGAAATCGCCCAAAAAGAGGCGGTACTCCACAGAACGTGACATGACGCTGATTGGACTATATCCAGAGGCACAGTAACGCCTAGCGTAACTCTGGTTGAATGAGATTTTGAATGTGATTGAAAAAGTCCCTTTCACACTTTGGTGGTGCGTCGCCCAATCGCCCTAATGAAGAAACCGCCCCTGTATGTCCGGCTGATCCAGGATGTGTATGAAGGAGGGATAATGCACGTGCGAAGCAGCTGTGGGGTGCTGGAGAGCTTTCAAGTCAAAGTGGGAGAGAAGCAAGGTTCTGCCCTGAGCCCCTTCCTGTTCATCCTGGTGCTGGACACACAAACAGGAAGTATTCGGAGGGAGCCCCCCTGGTGTATGCTGTTTGCAGATGACATTGTGCAATGCGGTGAAAGCAGTGGAAGATGATTTGAAGATCTGGGTACAAAATATTGAAGGGAATGGGTTGAGGGTCAGTCGGATAAAGGCTGAATATATGGTGGGAAATTTCAGTATAAATAATGCAGAAGGATTGCAAATTGGAAGTCACCAGTTAATGAAGAAGAATGAGTTGAAAGTGTCTGTGTGCAACGATGTGTGTTGAATGGATCACTAGAAGGAGAGATAAACACAACAACAAGGGCTGGATGGCTTAAATGGCGAGAGATTACTGGTGTGGTGTGCGATAAGAGGGTCCCCCAGTTTGGTTGAAGGGGAAAATTTACAAAACGGGGGTGAGGCCGGTGCTGTTGTATGGGGCCGAGTGTTGCTGGGGCACAAGGAAGAGGGAGGATCACGCTATATCAGTCACAGAGATGAGGATGTTGCAGTGGATGTTGGGTTCAACAAGAAAGGCTCTGGGTGTGGTTCGATCATGTGGAGAGACAACAGGAAAATGACGTGGATCAGAAGGTGCGAGTGATGCAAGCGGAAGGAAAGAGATCAAGAAGAGGAAGGCAGAAGTAGAGGTGGGGGAGCGATGTAGTGCAATGGGACCACGGTGGCCCGAGGAGCGGAGAGAGATGGCGCAGGACAGGGCAGCGTGGAGAAGGTTGGCAAGGACAGCGGACACCCTGACATGAGTGGGACAACGCGTGGAAGAAGAAAGCTGAATTCACAAGAGCTGCATTCATTTACATGCGACCAGGAAAGGTTCATTCCAATTCAGTTGCCAGGTGAGATGCCACTGAGATTGTAAAGGGTGGTCCAGATATCTAGTGACCCCCATTTAATTCTCTAAAACGTAATATTTTTAAAGTATGGTTTATGTAACACAAAAATTAATATGCAAAGGGGAAAAAAAAACATCTTAGGGGTCAATTAATTGGGGGGTCACGATACATCTGGACCGCTCTGTACATTATCTCAATTGTATTGAACATCTGGATGCATTCACAAGACATCTGGACCACCCTGTACATTATAACACATTCCTGCGGAGGGAGCTGGTAGGAACGTTGGGTTGCTCGGTCAATGTCCAGGGTCAACGGCGGCGTGGTGTATTCCGCAAATATGGCCGACTGTGAGGGCTGGCACAAGCCGGCGTGAGTAGGTTAAACGTTGAGTTTTATAAGGGCACCACGGGGTGACCAGCCCCTCCCCACCCAGCCCCACCCTTCCCACCCCCCACCCAGCCCCACCCTCCCCACCCAGCCCCTCCCCACCCTCCACACCCAGCCCCTCCCTCCCCACCCAGGCCCTCCCTTCACGACGGACGGACGGACACAATAATCCCCTGTGGGCTAGTGTAACCAGGAGGTTCCTACCAGTGTAAATTGTATTGAACACCTGGATACCTGGCATGGTTACAAATGCACTTTCGGCAAAAATGTTTAGAGCTCAGACCACACATGCTGCTTATTATAACAATACTGTGCAGATAGTGGAAATACAGTCCCATGCAAGTTGTATGCCTTTTATTCAAAAGCAATTACACCAGAAATACATTGGCTTAAACAAGCCACAACCCCACAGGATATATATAAATCCCAGTATATACAGAATACAATAGATTTCATTAAAAATTGTAACTTAAGCAGAGGAATAACTTGAAAATCGCGTGGTTGAATACGATGCTGTTACATGGTGTAATCAAAGGCAACTCTATACACAAAACATGCAATTTGTTGACCCAAATCTTTCACCGAATGTATTTTTTTTAGCCCGATACCATGGGAAATTCTAAAAGACACAATTAAGACAATAACTATAATTACTAGCTATCAGACTCAATTGCTCCATTATAACGTGAAATACTACTGCACTTATCCTTGGTTTATAATATTTAAAAGCTGCGCTGCGACAAAACGTGTTTGGTCATTACTGCTATGATGGAATTAGTTGCCTATAAATGACAGTGTATCAAAAGACAAAAATCTCCTGGTTCAGCCTTAAACTGGAAGGAAAAGTTCTAGAATTTAAAGGCAATCATTTATTGAGCCTGGCCGAGTGGATGTGGCCATGAGTATGCCCCAGCCACCTTTGTCTTCCCACTGTTGCTGTTCAAACACTGTACCAGGTAGACATGTTCAAAGATAGTTCAAACCAAGAGAAATCCAGGCACCAGTTAATATTGAAGCACATACATCATGGCAGGACATTTGAAGCCAAGCTGTCGAGATCTTAGCTACTATCTACGATGTCACTGCTCCCAATACATACTTGGGTTGTTAAAATATATATGGTTCTATACTGGTAACTGCAAAAAAAAGAACCAGTACAAAATTGGTTACCGGTTTACTGTACTAAAAGGAATGTCTGTAACCGAGAAATGTGAGGATGTTGCCATAGTGGTTATCGTAATGGACTTGAAATCCAGTTGAAGCAATGGAGCAATTTTCAATCGGTGCATTCATTATATTAAAGCTTCACTGGAATCAGTTAACGGTTAGTGAATTTTGAACCAGTTACCATTTTTTGTATGAAACAAGGTTACTGGTTAACGTTTAATAACTCTACGTATTTGCGTGCAGACCCATACACACCTAACTTGCATTGGACAGTGGCACGGCCCTAGCGCTAGCGCGTTCGCCGCTTGTTGCTGAGGTTTACAATTCGAATCCAGCGGCTGCCCTGGTTATTACTGCCAGTGTAATAAACCAATTTTTTTTTTATTTTGTCCAGGTAAGGCCTGCTGACCTATAAAGCACTTTTTCATAAGCGACCTGACTATCACAAATGATAGCTCAACGAAGTGGCTTATCACGTGGGAATTTATAGTCGCCAAATACTCCAAATGCATGTTGTTTCCAAATGTGGAGGGAATAACCAGAGAACCCGGACAAAAATCCACGAGACCACAGGGAAAGAGACATGCAAACTTCAAACATACACTAGTCAGGATTGGGATCAATCCCACAAGCTCATGCATACCAGGCAAGGTAGTTAACATCTCGCACCGTGGCGCCCCATAACCACGATAACACTACGCGCCGTCTGCTCCACAGTGGATGTTAAAAACCCCCTGACGTCATTCGCAAAGAGGAGGCCACTGTATTCTGGTGTCAGTGTCCAAACTTGCAAAAATTCTTAAATTACACCGCAAATTACTCAATTGGGTTAGTGCACAGTCATCATCGCCCTCTATTGCCCCAGGTCACCGGCAAATAAATTTAATCCTGGTCTCTTGAGCTTTCATCTGGTTAAACAAAACTAAACTTGAATCTTCAGGGTTATGCATGGATGTTGAACTTATTTCGCACCGTTCGTAGCCAAGGGTGATCCATTTACAGACACCCCATTGATTTTGAATGACCCGGTTATCATCAACAGACGATTGAAATTAAGGCAATGGTTCCATATCTTAGAGGAGGGTGTTAAAGGATTGTATAAGTGCATTGAGATTGGTGGTAGGTGTTTCCAGGTTTTTTAAATCAAATTATGTTTTCACTATAATTTCTCCATATTATTGTAGGGGGGGGGGTGGCATTTTAAATGCTTCACTCTTTGCGTAAGGGTTCCAGTGGCATGTGGCATTTTGTGCAATTACAGGCTCATGTAAATATAATAACACTCTGTTCAAGAGTGACGAGTGAGCGTGGCAGTTATGCGCTCGTAATGACTGTACACAGGGAAATCGAGAGGCTTAATGAGGCTTGTTTGATATTCTGAAAGCTCCTTGCCTTACGGCCCGTGAATACCAATTACCATGTTAGGGAAACATGAACTCGGAGGGCTGGCTCATAGTGGGAGAAGAGATTAATGGAGTTCATTCATGTAACGCGTTGTGCGAGAGAGCTCATAAAGAAAATATAGAGCAGTGCTAACGGCTGCCTCGGTAACCAGGCGAGAGCCCCAATCCTCGGTGGTTTTCACATTAAATCAAATGCAAAAGGAGGTTATAGCCATTCCGTGCACAGTGTATTCGTTGCTCGGCGTAGCCGGTGGAATATATGGCTTATATGACACGCTTAGTTTCTGGGAAACTAATTAAATAGGCAATGGCATAGGCACGTTAGAAGAGACGTATTGTTCGGTAGGCACAGCCAATCACTGTTGCTTTGTCTGCCTTCCCCTGAATATTTGTGCTTTCAATGAAACATCTGGTGCAGCGTGCCAACAGCTGCAGGACAAGCGTTCCCGTGCTGGCCATAATAGGTGACCGCTAAGCGTGCTGGTTTTTAGAGAGACGGGAAGGTCTCTTTACGTGTGTATGTTAGTAAGCTTGTAGGTGTATCTGAATGCGAACGCTTTTGCATACGGACACTTTTGTTTAAATGAACTTGCTGTTAATCAGCTTCTTTCCCTTATTCACTGATCAGGTCAAGGGTCAGGCTAGACTCCCATGTGGAATTGGTCTAATGCAGTCAGGCACATGTTTTACTAACGTCCAATGAACTTGTGTTGTTTTATTTAAGTTTTTCTTCCGGTTCCGTTTCGATGACATACGGAATGGGAAAGGGTTAAGAGGCATGCACCACATTCTTTTAAACAGAGTGTTTGCAGTTCATTGAGATCCACGGATAAGCAACCGCTCTTCGACTATGCTCAAATGTCGGTGCTGCTTGCAACATTTTCTGGATCCAGATATGGGTACGGAACTTTCCCCACGGCCTCCAACCGTGCGTTCCTCTCTTTGATTTCGCAGGACAGCTTGCGCAGATGAGCTTGAAAGTCGTTTTGGATGCCCGGAAACTCGTCTCCGATTGCGTTGAGCTGAAATACACAGCAGGGGAACGGCCGCGAGGTCACGCTCAAATGTCAAGAGAGCCGTCGGAAACTCTAAACAACCGTACTGTGTTTCACTCATTCGGCATTCTGCAGGGCGGGTGAAATGCGAGGTGCATAAGAATAAACACGTCTTGTCCATTTCACTTACGGCTTTGATGCATGTGTGTTTCCTGGATGGAGATTTATTTTTGAGTGAGCACCAGACATGTCACGAAGCGTTGATTCATTGATTATAGGTTACTCGTGCTTTACGGTAACATGCATCGAATCACGTGTCTGAGAGTTAATTATCTTCAGTTTAGGTAAGCGTTGTCTGATGTTACACTTAGTGAAACAAAACTGCAAGATTTCAATTCATTCCAAATTTGCACAATTACAAATCTGCTGAGCTCAGTTCAATGATGTGGATTTTCTCCCCCCCCCCCGACCTCCCCCCCCCCGCTCATTGTTCTTAATGCGTGACCCTGGAGAAGTGTGACTCCCGGAGCCTCACCTTGGTGAGAGGCACGAGCGATGGCATGGACAGGATGTGCGAGAAGAGGATCTGGAACATGGAGACGCCGATGTCGGGCAGTGCACTCGCAATGAAGTCCCACGTGATGTCCTCGTCCCCCTCCGGCATGAACTTGGTCAGCTGCTCGGGGCTGTGAGCACACAAGGCAGGAGAGGCACGGGCAATGGCCACCCACACGGTCACAGCAAACGATGTTGAAACAACGGCAAAGGTACAGCCCTGCAAATCTATAGAGGGCATTCGGTCGACTCGTCTGTGTTGACCAGACTTGTTGGAAGAGGTGGGTGTACCCACGCTTCACCCCACAACATGACATGGCCATCGACTGACTGCCCTGTAGCCATTTATTCTGCTGGGTGGGCAGAAAAACTTGCACAGTTGTTTTCATCTTCTGAGCTGGAACATTTGAATCAAGCCAATGCATGTTCAACGCGCTGACAATTTACACCACAGCAGCATCCCTTACAATTGTAAGCGCATCGCAAACAACTAAGAGCATTAGAAAGTGTCACAGTTACATGATATCAAGTTGCATTAGGCATGGACTGTGAGGTGGCCAAGAGATGGCAGTACAGCCAGGGATTCTTAAATATGTCTGTGTGGAGCGCTTAAGAGTCACTCATGCATGGGATTTATCCATACAATAGAGCCCTAACAGCTTTGTAGGCCCTTCTTGCTGAAATAAGTAAACATAAAATTCACCCAACTTCCCAAAGCAGAAACCTTAAAAAATATTATCGTGAGACTCAGTGAGGTTTTCCAATCTAATCACATAGTTATACAACTAACCCACACTACACCGAGTTGCAATGATGTGAGCTTAGACACCCATGCATTTGGCACAATGGTTTGTACAATGTGCTCTGAACTCGGTGACCTAATTTCGATTCCTGGCCACGGTTAACATCAGTGGCGATTGATATGGGAATCGGTTCTGAGTTCCTCTATATTAGTGCTTCTTTACCTTTACTGCAGCCTTGCACACATTTGGTCTTAATCGTTAAGACATGTATAATGTTAATACATACATAGGGTTTGATGAAACAAAGTAGTTGTACTTACGTGCCCGTGGTTAATTTGTGTTTCGAAGATTTACCTCCTAAAAAAATCTGGCATGTCTCGGACCCCCAGAAAGGGCATCTCGCACCCCCAGGGGGTGCGTGCACCACCGGTTAAGAACCACTGCTCTATACCAACTCGCAATGACCACCGGAGACAATTTGTTTACATGTCGTTATTTTCTCTTCCGGCATTGCGAGATCTTCTCCTTCTCACGGAATGTCCTGGGTTTTCCTGTCTCAGAGGTTTGTAATCCCAAGTTTAACTCGACCTGGAGATTGTTACCGTTTAGAGTGGCCGACGCGGTGCTTTGGGATCGTGTTCGGGGCCCGGCTTACCGTGGTGGGACGTACGCGTAGAAATCCCACTGGGGAAAGTTAACGGCAGAGTGCTGAGCGCTGGCCGTGAAGATGATGTTAGTCAGGCATTCCTACAACAGAGAGGACAGGCACACACCACTTTGTCCAATGACATAATTTACTTCTTAAGAGCCTGGCCAATTTGTGCTGTGGTACGAGCACTTGATATGCAGCCGAGAGGTTCCAAGTTTAAAGCCTTCTGTGTTGGCGCAAATTGTGATGCATGGCTTTGGAGGCTCGGGTTTGTAGATAATTTGTTTAGAACTGATTTTTTGTGTTTAGTGTATTGTCCTTACCCTCGCACTTCTGATTAGCAGAGTTGGCTACGTACGGTGTGAAAGAAATTCAACGTACATGCATCACATATGTTTCGTGAACTTCCAAAACTGTGCGGTGGCCAGGAGATGGCATTAACAGAAAAGTGGGTTTATCCAAATCGACTAACTGTGGCACTCATTTATACTGCCAGGAGAACAGTGGTGGTGGAATAAAATAAACTTTCCCCATTGTTTCAACTTCGCACCAGGAGACCCAACAGGGGCAGACCTCTGAATCGTCCATGGTCCAAGTCCATTGTTCTCACCATTACACCACAGCAGTATCCCTAGTATTACGATAATTGTTATGAATTATAGTTATGATGAACTCAGCCCATCATCTGTCTAGGATGGTTGAAATGAGTACCACTTTGTGGGAAGTCAACAGGTGTTGTCCTTGGAAAAGACTTTCCCCCCTCCATGATGGGATTGTGGAATTTCCACTGCCAACACACAGAAGGTGCCTAAGCCTATGTCACGCAAGTCACGTCTTAGTTCAGTTCGTATCAATCTGCAGCTGCGCCTCTGCAATGTGTGTAATGCGCACCACCAGCGATATCACCTGCACGAGGGATGGCCAGCACTAGGCCATCCCTCAACAGTCCCGTCGTTCAGTGTCAATCAGCAAATGCATGCAATGCCTGTTATCCAAATATCGGTCGGATGGAGACAGACGATCAGTGGGTAAAGATGGAACGTGTCTGACTGTGAGGTGAAGAGTTGCTTTTTATTGCACGTAGCATATTCAAATATGTACATTGGTAATGGTTGGTATTCCATAAAACATTATTTCAAGCCCCCCTTGTCCATCTGTTATCAAGTCTGTGAACCTACAATGCATCCGTCAACTCATTTGCACAATCATGCATCTTATGTTCATCTATAATTCATTTATTCTGCATTTGGTCTGTCTGCTAACCTATCGACTTCAATTATGCCGTGTGACTCGGTGAACACATCGAGCTGTCGGAGTTGTTACCATCAGAAGCTCTCTGGTGGTGATGGGAGACGGGAACCCAGTCACGTTGCCTCTCCTACGATCAGCCAGGGCGGCTGCAAAATCCTGCAGGCCTGTAACACATACGGACAACGTGCAAAGCACGGTGACGCACGCACTCATCACTGCTCTGCTGTGGGGTGATGGGAAATCGTCATCTAAACCCACAGCACATTGGTTGTTACTGATGCAAAGTGCGGTGGCGGTCTCGTCTTTTTGTGTTGCGTTAACAGAATGATAATACTTTCCATTACCTTGTAGGATTTGTTCTTTCTACAGATAAATATGAATGCGACGTCCAAACCTGCTGGGCTATGAGGTCGTTTGTACGTAGCATTTGAGGAAATTGTTTGATGAACTATCCGTATGGATTTTCGAGTATTATCCCCTAATCGGTGTCGGTATTCCCCAGACACTTTTAGCGTCCTCCCATATGTTAGAATAATTGTAAACAACTTCTTGGTTCTTTCGGTAAAGTCACGTAGAAGGGAAATAATAAAATAATAAAAATAAAACATAATTAAAAACATAATAAAATACAAATTGTGAGAATTGTATTTTATTATGTTTTATTTTTATTATTTTATTATTTCCCTTCTACGTGACTTTACCGAAAGAACCAAGAAGATGAATCCCTCCAGGCACGAAAGCTTTAAATCGAAATTGTAAACAAGTTGGCCATACAGCCCAGGGCAGAATAGTCTTAAAACTTATTCAGGTTATATCTGGATAAATAAAATTTATATTTTTGATTGAGCACCAAACTAAATTTTTGGTCCCAAGTTTAAATCTCTGCTGTAGGGAAATTCACACAATCACATCGTGTGTACCATCTTTCTCAGTCTTATTGAGAGTCCTATTCAGAGGCTGGCATTTGCCAACAGCAATGTGGAATTTTCATCACTGGCTTTAATCAATGCTACTCGACACACGTGTTGGCCAGGAAGACAATGAAGTGGTTTCCCACCCAGGCAATGAAGTGGTTTCCCACCCAATTGAACCTTGGGTGGCACTCACCTCCCGTTGGATTCCAGAGTCAGTGGTGGGAATTCCACATTCATATGATAGTTGACTTATCCAAAAAGTGGCACTCAATTTCATTGATCCTGGACGAATAAAAGGTTGAGTCAACGACCCTTGATCAGGATTTTATCTCTATATCTTTTCACAGCTAGCCATGTGTTCTACTCCCGCACCAAGCTGCCACATTGTATAATGTCATACGGAAGTTGCACAGCTAAGACTCGCAGAGTCACAATGTTAATATTTTTGCTGGAGGGTTCTACATTAGTCTGCTTGGCCAATACCTTTTTTTACTAGAGTAGTGTTATTGTCACATGGACAGTAACCAAATTACCCGGAAATATATCCCACACGTACGACGGATTGGCACTCAAAGATAAAAAGTAGAACGAATCTATTGCCCTCGATGCTGCGTATTGTCCGGCACCATGTCCAACATTTCCATCCACGTGCTAGAAGACTAAAGCTTTCGGCACATGAAGCAACATGCTAAACAATGAGCCAAGCAACATGCAATACAACCTGAACAAACATTGGGGAAGCTACTACACAAACCAGCCACGAAAACCCAAGCTGTCGTCATCGTCCAGAAGCTGGTGCACCCTCTCCGTGGCCGACACGTGCGCTCACCCTTGTCGTGCAGCACATCGGCGTCCGTGTGGTAGTGGCGGCACACAACCTCCCGCACGTAAGTGCCCAGCACGCGCCACAGCTTGAACCCGTCGTCGCGGTACAGGAAGTCCTCGAGTCCGTCGGAGCCGGCCGCGTCGAACCCGCGGTTCTGCAGCTCGCGTGGGAAGCTCATCTCCATGAAGTGGTAGCGCTGGAAGCTCTCGACGGCGAGCCGCAGGCCGCCCACCGTGCCCACGGCGAACGTGGAGTTGGTGAGCGGACCCACGGCCGCGATGAGCGTGTGCCGCGCCACGTAGTTGATGCCGATCGTGTCCTGCGGAACGGCGGGCGGCAGAGCGATCGATTGTGCTGGTTGGCCTCAGTGGTCTGTGTGCAAGTCGCTTACAGGCAGGGTGGGTCTGCTTGATCTGGCTCGGTGGCGCTGTGGTTGGCGCACACGGCTCGCAGCTGATTTCGAATTTGGCAGCACTGTCCTAGAGAGTAATGATCGTCTCCTAACAGGCGAACAGATATTTTCCATTCTCAGAACTGAAATTTGACCAAATTAAGTGCAGAACCGGTGTGTGGTCTTCAACTCGCTATATTGGAAAACCCAGTTCAAGGAAAGGTGGCTGCCTGGATTTGAACCCAGGATCCTGGCAGTGCCAGCTCAGCGCTCCGACCTCTGAGCTACCCAACCACCTCCGTCGGTACGTTATCGCGTTTAATTTATTTTGTATGCATCTTGAACTTCTTTCGCACCGCACGTCGCCAAACCTGCTCATCGGAGGTAACCAGGTAACAATCCGAGGGCCCAGGATAGTCTCATTTGCAAAGCGATCTGGGCCACCGAAATGACAAAAGCGCGGCGCTCGCCCTGCCTCTGAGCCACCGGGCGGATTATTCGGCGAACAGGCGAGGGAGACACAAATATCGGTCTCGGCCGGACATTGATGACGCGCGTGAGTTACGCGCTGCCCTCTGAGGTCCCCGTACCGTGCAGTGTGGGCGCAGGAGGCGGCCCAGGGCGTGCTTGGGCCCCAGGTAGTTGTGCACGGCAATGGCGAAGGGCTCCATGAGCAGGTGGGTGAGCGCCAGGTGCGACACGAACTGGTGCATCTGGTTTTCAGCGCAGCCCACGTGGATCTTGGCGAAGAGGTAGCGGTAGGGAGGGCTCCTCCGTGTGTACACCAGGTTCTTGCCGGCTGTGGCACGGGACAAAAATGTGGAATTTGATGAGCGTGGTGGTGGTGGGGCTGTGGTTTGTGGTTTAAATGCATCCTAATACCTTGCGTGATTTATAATAATATTGCTATGTGCAAATATGAATTGTTTTTACTTGATGTAGCTTTACAATTCATATATCGCATTTAAAAAAACAGACCTCAAACAACCAAGCTGGTCGTTGCCAACAATGGCGTGTGCCATTGTGCATGGGTGGTGTTGGTGGTGGTAAAGCAGGAGAGAGAAGGAATTGAATATACAGGGAGGGGGGGGGGGGACAACACAAGTACAGCAGTCCCAGGCCCCCAAGAAGCTTAGTCCGGCCCTCGCCGCGGGTGTGTCGCGCCAGCGGAGCTCACGGGGCTTGCGAGTGAGCTGGATGCCGAGAGGCATGAGTCGGCCCGTTCCGTCCGGGCACATCTCGCGGTACAGCAGCACCACGGGCGCGTAGAACTTCTTCTCCAGGTGCAGCGGGATGTCTGTGGTATCGCACACGCGAGCGCGCACCCATCGGCGATTAGCTCCCACTTTAAAGACATTTCGCGGGGCACACTACGCCGGTCACGCATCTCTCTTCCCCACTGTGTGGAGTGAGCCGTGCCTGGGGGCTCATGAGGTGGCAAGGGTTGTCTTAAAGCTTCAAACTCTGCCTACAAATCCCTATTGGCTGTGATCTGCCTGGGACACAACACGAAACACAAAGGCCCTGTTGTGCCGTCTGCCACGTGTAATACCGATTGTGTTACTTCTTGTGAGTGAAAATTGCCTTCGCGGTTAATTTTGGCTCCCTTGAGCCCTCTGGCTAAAACGTTCATTGAAATTAAAGCCTGTTTCAGAATTACATCCATTCTTAGTTTACTGTGGATCGGGAGTTTATTTACATATTTAAATTAAAATGTCCAGTAACAAAGTAGAAAGCAAGATGTACTTATAGTATACTTGTAGAATAAACGCAAAATATTAAGCTGGCACAGCTTACGAATATTGTTGGGCAAATCACCCATTACCGGTCACCTTTGTAGCACCGGATCTGTTGCTGATGCCCTTTAGGTTAAGCACTCATTGTAGGATAATTTGACCTCAGGGTGAGCCATGGCAGGTTCACTTACCTGTTGGCGGATTTTTATTTGTTCGGCCCAATTTTCGATTTCATTTTATATATCTATATTTTAAAAAATATTTAAATTGGATACATGTTCATAATTGTAATTGTTTCCACACAATATTTAACAATTACAACATATTTGTTCATATTAATCCTAGCATTTTTAAGTTTTAACATGACGTTTCATATAATTTAAATGTAAGTATTTTGAAACAAATTTTCTCGAAAGTATATTACGTGACAGAATTTTTGTCGGGATAGTCATATACTACAGAAGCGATGTCACTTCTTGTGACATTGCATTTTTAGATCAATTCAAGACAACATTCATTTTCAGATCATCCGATATATTCTTTCTAGGCCTAATTTTCTAATTCATCCGAAAACCAGCACCACATCCTCACAACTGATATAAATACGTATGAACACAAAGACCCGTATAGCCTTAACAGACTGTAGGAGCAAGTGCTGTTTTCAAGCACCTACGAAGGCCAGCACGGCACACAAGGAGTGTGTGACCAGCACCATGCCCGGCCGCCTTTGTCTCCCCAGTGGCGATGGTTACACTACGCACCAGGTACTCATTTTAGGCTGAGTCGACCTAGGGGAGGCTCAAGAGCAGTTTAGATAATCGTCACTGGTGTTGGCCATGAGCAGGAATCGAACTCGGGTCGCTGGGTTCGTAGTGCAGCACGCTAACCGCTACACTACCGCTCCCACCTAAATACGTATAATGTACATATCCTGGGAGCGATCGGAGCTCTCTGGGGGAAGTCGGCGTGCCCTACGGTCTTCGATCCTCGCTCTTCGGTCTTCGCTCTGGGTCGTCGGTCGCATATGAGACGGGATGGTCGGCAGTACGTTACTGACCGGCCTTGTTATGTAGTTGCCCTGTTGGGGTCTAGTTAACCGTTGTAACGTTTAAGTAGTAGCACTGTTAGGGCCGTGCAATAAACGTGTTGCCTCCAAGTTCAAGTGTGTGCCTCCATGAAGAACACTACACGAGTATAGCACACCGGTGTGTCGTAGAGTAAATCCACATTTCTGTTTACGTGACAAACCTTACTAATTGGCTGTGTTGGGTGGTGGCGGGTTTAACGACACATTTATATTTACACGATCCAACCCAAAAAGGCTCTATTTTGGACTTTCCCACCAGCTCTCCACACATGAGAGTGAGGTTCGTGGCAAGACAGTCAACCCAATCATTCAAAAAGACAATCCCAGCTAGAATGCTTACGCAACTCCGCAGATCACGCAGCAGATGTGCGTGCCACACGCACGTCTGTGTGCCGCGCGTGCGTGAGCGGCTCTCACCCGCGAGCGCCTTGTAGTCGACGACGAACAGACGCTTCTCGCTCATGAGCTCCTCCAGCGTGCGGTCCTGCCCTAGCAGGCAGCGCATGTCGGGCGGAACCTGGTCCAGGCTGCTGCACACCTTGATGAGCATGGGGTTAGCTCCTGCAGCCGTGGACACACGCAACCAGATGCTCTCACATCCACACCATGTACCCACATACAAAGATCCCCCGTATAGCCTTTACATACGTTTGAGGCAAGTGCTGGTAGCGAGCACCGAAGAAGGCTGGCACGACACACGAGGGGTTGGGTGGCCAACACCACGCCTGGCTGCCTTTGCCTCCATTATTGGCTATCTTTACACACCGTATCAGGTACTAATATGAGGCTGAGTCGACGTAGGGGAGGCCCTGAACCAGATCAAATATTCGCCACTGGTGTCGACGGCTGTGAGCAGGCATCGAATTTCGGCTCGCTGGGTTTCGGAGCGCGTCCACCGGGCGCATGGGTGGCCTCGCTGGTGCTGGTTGCGCGTGGCCAGCTCACCCCCACGGCGACATGTGAGCGAGAGAGAGAGCGAGCCGGGGCGAAGCGAGGGCCCCCACCCTGTATGAAGGAGCGCGCAAACTCCTCGTCGTCCCTCCAGCGCTCAATCATGGAGCAGGGCGGCTTGAGGAAGCCGCTGAAGAAGGCCGTCCACTTGTCCTCACTCTCCCTGTAGCGCTGGGTCAAGCCCGCCTGCAGTGCACACACGCACGCCAGCACCCTCGACTGATGATTCAATGTAATTTCAACAGTGCTTGAAATGGGGTTATTCAATCAGTCCACCAGTCCACCAGTCCAGCCGTCCGCCTGTCTGTAATGTGGTAGCGTCGCAATTATCATCAGCAGTAGAAATTATATTCTTTGCGTGCGCTTGATGGCAGCAGCAATGTGATTTCAGGGGCTAAAAGCCAACGTCGCAGTCTCCTGCTGCTGCTGCTGGCCACGACGAGGGGGCTGCAGCTGAGAGAGAGATAGTTCGTGCGGTTTTACTATTCGATCTTTCTCCGTATAATGATGCGGCATAATGACTACGAGCAATGCAACAAGTCCGCAATGCGAGAGTCACGTGTGTTTGTTGAAACCAGGCGAGCAGTTGCGAGAGGCCAGGGTGAGTCTCGCTTTGGCAAGAGCACACCTGTCAACCCATACGCTAATCCGTATTCTTGTACAGGGAAATTGAGTTTTCAGGTCCACACGGCGCACAGCCGTTTCAATACGGGCAACAACAACAAAAATGTCTATTTGTGTTTCTCCCTTGTGATGGGACTTTGTAGGATGAACGTCGAGATGTATAAGGGCACGGGGTGACCAATAAGGTCTGAATTGGTCCGTAATAAGGTAGGGCACTGACAAGGGGTGGACAGGTCTGCGAGAGTGACCTGCGAGTGGACGAACTCCGTGGCGCGCTCGATGACGCGGGCGATCTTGTTCGGGGAGAGCATCTCGGTGGAGATGGGCATCTCGGCGTAGCCCGGCAGAGCCTCCAGCGCCAGGTTGGGCTCCGACTGCATGCGCGGCATGATGGTCCACGTGTAGGGGTGGTCTGCACACAGAGCCGCACGTTCGCCGTCCTTCAGTCACCGACGGTACATTAGGGCAGCGTTCTTTACGCATTTTCAGAGGGGGTGGGTGGGGGGGCACTTTCGCCAATAAGACATCATCAGTGCGAGGGCCGCCACACATTTGAAACCATTGGGGTTTGACAGCAGCACGATGCTGATTGGAGGTGTTGTCACGTTTGTGTATTGCCAGGGGCCGCACTAAAGGCCACCATGGGGCTGCCAGTGGACCACGGGCCTTGGAATTTTTTTTCTCACAATTCTAATTTCGCGATTGACATCATAAGGACATTTCCATTTGGATCTTTAGATAGCAGTACATCACTTTGTATCAGAGGACGGCCCCAGAAGCTGACATTACAGAACTACTTCTGAAGTTGCTTTAAGAGGCTTATTTATACTCGGGGGCACATATTTTGTATACCCTGAAACGTGCCTAATCTATGGGGACCTCATTTGCCAGTAAAAATATGATAATTGGTTCTTTACCCTTCTATCTGGCAACAAAACTGACACCTTTTTGCAAGGAGTCATGTTTGCATAGACCGCAATACCTGCAGTCATAATACAAACAAAAGAACATAACTCTGATAATGTGCACTGTCCTTGAAGTCTCGGGTGTGGACCAATCAACTTCAAGGACAGTGCACATTATCAGAGTTATGTTCTTTTGTTTGTATTATGACTGCAGGTATTGCGGTCTATGCAAACATGACTCCTTGCAAAAAGGTGTCAGTTTTGTTGCCAGATAGAAGGGTAAAGAACCAATTATCACGTGCCTAATCATTAATAATATGTGCCTACACTTTTACTGTACATTGCCACATACATACATAAATCAATCCATTATTTATGTTAAATTTGTTTTCACTGGCCTTGCTGCGCTCTTGTTGAAAAATTATATATCAGTAATATCATGGCTCCAGTTCAGGTAGGAAGTGAGCTGCACCCCAGGTTTTCAAATTGCGGGTGACATGAGGAAGGGATTCAATCATTGGAATACAACAGGTAAGTGGAGGCAATCTTTAATAGCGCACCACGTGAGTGCTGTTCCCCTGCGTAGGGCTGCATGCATTTCCAGGGGTGGCTAAAAAGACGGTGGTGGAATTCACTGGCAAGCTGATTGACCTGGAGCCACGTCAACACAAGCCGGCGGTAACAAGGTAAGAGTCTGACCAGGGTCCTCGATGAAGGACCTCACGAGCATCAGGAGGTCGTCACGAATGGTGTCCAGCACGCTGGGGGTGGCCTGCACCGCAGCTCCTGTCTGGACGCACACAACCAGATGCAAATGGCACACACTGCACACCAGTAACTGCAAGATCCGACCGTGTCCGTCCAGTGCTCGCCGAGCTGCATTGGCTTTCGGTTGCCGAACGAATACATTGTAAGGTCGCGCTCATTGCGCACAAAGTGTTTGCCACGAATGAACCACAACAACTTGCCGATCTCGTCAATGAGCATAAACCGTCATCACGTGAACTCCGCTCATGCTCGCAGCAGCGGTTTTTGGCTGGCCATCGAGCAAAGACGGTCACTACATCGCGCGATTTCAGATGCGCTTCAGCCGCCGTTTGGAGTGCTCTTCCTTCCGATATGAGGAAGCCACTGGGGCTCTGCACTTTTAAATCGTACAGATTGAAAACTAATTTCTTAATAACTGATTGTTGTGTTTAGTTTGTTGTCCTTCCCCCGCACATCTTATCAGCACGGTTAGCTACGTACGGTGCGAAAGAAGTTCAACATACAAAGAACTCCCCGCACCATCAGAGTTGCGCAGAGTTGCGCAGCGTGCTTGGCCTCCGGATTTATGGCCGTCATTTCAGGGCACGAATTCCGTTGCTGGTGATTTTCTACGAACTCGGAAAACAGAGTTCATGTTCGTTGTTACTCTGGGTTCTTCCCTCCGCATGGTTGTACTCGCAAGTGATTTGTATGCAAACGACATTGAATTCAAGCAAGCCTATGATTTGGATGATTAAATTGGAAAAAAAACTGTCAGAATGACCTCTAAATAAATAAAATAATCATACACAGAACATCATGTAAAGCAGCACATTTCAATTGTGGTGTTAACATTTCTTAGCGCCTGTAATACTTTGAAAATTACAGTCTTTGTTATATAGTCTTTGTTTTATCAGGTATTTTTTTTTAACGGGCAGAGGGCACGAAATGTACCCATAGCCATGACGAGGTTATATTAACCTAACCAATTCCACAAAATTAATACAAATTGGTCTTTCAATACTATTACAATGAATCCTGGTATGTCATGGGTGGTGACGTGGCAATGTTTTTCTTAAGTGTGGATCTACTGCATTTAAATATCGCTCGTCATTTCGGTGAATATGGCAGCTATTTTCGATGTTTAATGGGTCTGCCTTATCAAGATTTCCACTTTACAGGCGTGTCACTTGATTGAATGATTGAGGCCAATTATTATTACGTTGCTGACCACTTAATCTCCAATTGCAGCCAGACACATCACCGTCATCATCATCATCATTATAATGTACTCCGCGACTCCGATGCGGTGCGGCTGACGTCACGCACTGCTCCGTTCACATTGCTTGAGAGCAATTAGGGGAGATATGTCCATAATACACATTTTTTGGGTTAGTTCTCGTAAATATAAATGTCGTTAAACCCGCCAGCACCCGACACAGCCAATTAGTAAGGTTTGCCACGTAAACAGAACATGCCAATTCGTTACTAGTACAGCACACCGGTGTGTTGGAGAGTAAATCCACAACATTCACAAATCTGGCCATCGCCTGATGATGCTAGTGGTGATTACTGGCAAAACATCCTACTGAGATTGTGCATTATGTGGATTTACTCTCCAACACTGGTGTGCTATACTAGTGACGAATTTGCATGTTCTGTTAACGTGACAAACCTTAAAATTGGCTTTCTCGGGTGGTGGCGGGTTTAACGACATTTATATATTCATGCGATCTAACCCAAAAACCTTGTATTATGGATAATGTTGGTCGCAAAAGCCTATGTGTTAAACAGGGGAAATATGCTATGTGCACAAATGTAGGGCACACAGAGTGACCATTTTACATAAAGGAAAAAAAAAGTCCCAAGTTCAGTCAAACAGTATTTGATTGTTTGCTTTGGTACATACCGTACTTGTTAATACTCATGCTATCATCGTTACAACTGCGTAAGTGTTGGCAGTAGATTTGGCCGCGGAACTTTCTGATGTGTTTTCTGGCTCAACTTTGGCGTCTGACGTTTTGCTGCACGTCCAGAATGCAGTCGCTAAATACGTCGGAGAGCTGCAATTCAATTTGTTTGACTAAAATAACTTCGGTGAGGTGTGTGGTTATTTGCTTTTTTACACTGATCTTTGTGACATTCTTTGTTCTGAATGATCTCCTGAACACCTACGCCTTGTTTCAAGATTCACCCTGCTTATTATAAATATAAAAAAGAAGCTGTAATCCTGTAATGGGCGTCATGCGCTCGCGATCACCAGCCCAGTTGTTGCACCTCAAATTTGCTTTCTTTGGTAACATTTGTGAAAAACAGCCTTGGGGCTGTACATTTGCCCATTGGGATATTAAACAAATCTGTACAAAGCCTGGTTGGAGTGCGGGGAATAAAACGGTGCTGGAAGAAAGAAAGATAAACAATTCTCACAGGATTTGAAAATTGTTCTTTGAAAAATTATCCTGGCAGGGTACGGTTGAGAAAACTGTTCGGAGAACTGCGTGAGCTAATTGTGTTTATAATTGGAGGAGTGTTACTTTTCTTACATCTACAATGGAGCGTTGACAAATCCCAGAGTGGAATAAAACTGGTTCACTGGTCAGATCCAAGCTGCGTCCAGCTCATATGCAGTTGATTTGGTAAAACTGTGCTTACAGTTCATCCAAACGAAAGTGAATCATGAAACCAAGCTACAGATACACAGCAATGGTGTCCAACTCACAAATGCCATGGATGAATTACACTAATTACAGCCATTGGGCTTTACTTAATTTTATGTTTATTTATTTGTAGCATTGTTAAGCAGAGGCCTCTGACCAAACACCTGGAATCCACCCGACGTCATGAAGCTAAGCAGCATTGAGCCTGGATAGTACTTGGATGAGCAACAACCACAACACAGCTGTAGAAGGCATTGTGGGCAGTAGAGGGCACCCACCTTCACCAACCCGCACTGACCAGTGTGGTGAAGTATAGTTAAATGACCCTTGCTTCCTGCACGACATGGGGAAGGCCCTCATCCCACTTTGGATTGACAAACAGGCTGTCAGCCATCGTGAAGCGGTGGCCCTTGATAGTCTGCGTGCTGCGTGCTGCGTGATTTGGTAGTTTTTTATTGGCTTGCATGGCGTGCCTGTACTGGCACGACAACACATCACCAAGTCACTCAACCAAAGCTTGACCCATTACTCAGACAAATTGGCCCTTCTCATACTCGGCTTGCTACCTCTGAAGTGCAAAAAAACCTGGGACATGTCAATGGAATTAAGAACAACTCAAAATCCCACAAGGAGAAGAGATCTTACTGAACATGCATCATCTCAAGTGGTGTATTTATTATTATTATTATTGCCCAACTGACAAAAAAAGATCTGTTAAATTTAATGCCCCGAGAATATTTATAAATTTCCCAGGGCACCAGCTACCTTAAAAAGAGGGTGATCCTGGAAAAAAACAGGACAGGTGGCAACCCTGTCCTATAATCATTGTGATGGCTCTCGTAAACAAAAAAACAATTGTTGGGTGCGAGTGGCTTACTTGCTTGTTATTTATTTTGTACATTTTAAGGAATTCATTTTGTCATTGACCGTGGAATTTCACCGGCACTCATGTCTTTGAGTCTTTTACTTGCTGCTCATGCCAGCATGCCCGCCCCGAATACTCATTTATTTAACTTGCGCATTACGCCATGCACGAGTGCTTAGCAGGCGTATTACAATTCCTCGTGAATAGCTCGATACCAGACCACGCACGTCAACTAAAAATATAATTTGAATCTGGCCAGAGCCTCTGAGGGAAAATTTTCCTCGAATGAATACAAGGTTTGGTGTGGGCCTCCTCAACGCAGGGGAGACAAAGGCAGCCAAAAGCCTCATGTGGCCCGCTGGCCTTAATAGATGCTCACTCAGAGTATCTGGTGTTTACATAAACGCTGCTGCCTGCCCGCGTGCGTGCGTGCGTACCTGCTGCATATTCACCTGCATCTCCACGTCCAGGCAGCCGTGGCCCGGCAGGTTGAGTTGCATGTGTTTCGTGTCCGTGCTCACATCGGTAAGCAGCACCTTGACCGCCGACAGCTGCCGGTTGTACCCCTTCTCCTCGCTCCTACGGGCGCGATCGAGTCACAGGTAAACGATCAAATCCGTGTGCTTGTAGTTTCGTCACCTACTGCATCATAATCTATACAACGATTTTATTTTGTATTTTTCCAGGTAAGTCACACTCAGCTATATAGCTCTTTTTAAGAAGCGACCTGGCCACAAATGATTGTGCAACGAAGTGGCTCCTCATTATGTGGAAATGTATAGCAGCAGTCAATACTCTAAACGCATGTTTCTATTTGTGGAGTGAAAAACCAGAAAAATCCGCGTGACCACGGGGAGAACATACAGGTAGGGCTGAACGATTAATCGATTTCAAATCGAAAGCGCAATCTAAAACAATGCGATTAGCAAATCGCAAAGGCTGCGATTTTTGCGATGTGAAAAGTCCTATTACTTTCTTATTGGAATTATTGTATTTAAATTATTATAACTTTATTTATTTAATATTGATTTGAATGTTGATTTGAAGCTTTCGTGACTGCAGGAATCCATACTCTTTGGTTCTTTCGGTAAAGTCACGTAGGAATAAAATAAAATTAAACGTAACAATTGTTCTATGTTTGATTGTTCTATTTAAATTAAAACATTTTCATAAATACATGTTGATAAATACATATGAATTGTTGGAAGCAATTCATATCTTTTAAATTGTCATCCTTGCATTAGAATATATAGAGCAGTTAATATTTTCATGGTATCATGTGGTGCCATTAAAATATCACATTTTAAATCTATTACACAGTGAATATTGAACTGAAGCAAATCAAATCGCAATATCTGTCAGAAAAATCGCAATTAGATATTTTCCCCAAATCGTTCAGACCTAGCGTCAGGGTGGGGATTGAGCCCACACACCTCCCGTGTACAAGGCAAGGAAGTTAACAGCTTGCCACTTTGTCTGGACATCTGGACACGGAGCTAAGGAAGAAATGGTTAATATCGGAACCCCCTTCCGAGAGAAAGGGAACAAGGTCACTGTTCCATGCACACTGGAAAGACGTCTTCAGCACAGAGATGATTGCAATGACACACATCCTTGTTATTACATGTGGTGGTCCTTAAGCTAGAAGCAGAATGATGGGAGAAAAATTGGATGCATTAAAAGCAGTAATGGTGAAATAAAATACCTTGAATTAAATAATCACTGCAGTACTGTAGTTTGATGATTTAAACAATATTGTGAATCAGTCATCCATGAATAGGTGTCTCTATCACACAATCAGAATCAACCAGTCGCTGCATTCAATGATTTTTTTCCACTCCCACTCTTCAGCTCAGGTCACGGAATTACCGTTGCTCAATTTTTTTGGTGTAAAGCTCTCCCCTTTAACTACTCCTGGTTCTCAAATGTAAGCAGGATGACAACAAAACACGTTTCAATTCACAACTAGTAGTGCGACCCAATTGTTTTCAGTCGTAGTCTGTGGGTTGCGTTGTCCTGTTGCTGTATTGTTCAAGTGGGGGGGGGGGGGGGGGGATGCCCACCACAGAGCGAGCTGCACGTGGGTGCTCTCCTTTGTGAGGTCCAAGGAGAAGCTCTGGTTCCAGATGGGGTTGCTGTGCGGAGATGTCGTGGTCACTTGCTCTATCCCATCATTCATTTGCAGCACCACAATACACGCCGGGCAGTCCTGCAGCGAAAGGCACACGCGGGAAAACTATATCACAAAGAAGGAGAAAAAGCATTCCAAAAAAATCTGAAATATTGTAAAGTTTCAATTGAGAAAATCGTTGATTGTTAACAATAGTACACACGCGGTCCATCATTTCTTGTTGCTATGGGGTTACCTAAGTGCTATCGGAATCGCGTCACGAGACAACGTTTTCATATCATACTTTCACAAAGCAGTGCATCGCCTTATGTTAGAATGGTCCGCAGAAGTGACAATCATGGAACTATTTCTGAGGTCATTTACACTATGAGACCTCATTTACCAGTGGCAAAATATATTAATAGGTTTTCACCCTTTCAACTGGTACAAAACTGACAACTTTATACAAGGCATCATGTTTGCAATAACCACAACACAAGCAGTCAAAATGCAAAAAAAAGAAACAACTTCAACGACAGTGCATATCATTATCCTGAAAGCGGGCACAGCAGCGTCCACTCCGGCTCACCGCGGTGCTGGTAGTGCTGGGTGCGGGGGGACTGGAGGTCGGCTCTCATCAGCCGGATGCGCAGCACGCCCACGGCCGGCCGGAAGAATCGGTCGAGGCCCGAGATGGCAGCGCGGTAGGCGCCGGACTGGCGCCGGGTCACGTCCTGCGCCACGCCGGCGCTCGCGCAGTCGAACGTGTTGTTGAACTCCACACGCGTGTGGCCCACCCCGGCTGCGAACGGCACAGCGCGATTATTCTCTCGAGCCTCTTGTATTTAGAAAGTAGGGTTGATTTTGCTTTGCGTGGCAGGAGATTAGATGAATTTATTTATCGGTGTGAATTTACTCTGCCAATAGAGTGCAAAGACCACGAGGCTATAACCCCCACTTGCCCGAAATCTTAAACACAAGGCTTCAGTCCAAGGGTGGCCTCCTGGGTAAGGCCACATGTTGAGCGTAATTTATTTCTAGCTTGTGCCACCCACCAGTGTGGGAACCTTTCACGTGAAGGTTTGCCCACAATGGCTCGTTGTCCCATCTTATGAGTAAATAACGTATTATTTTATATAAATTTCGCCATTATTAAATATGATCGTCAGATGCAAACCTCTGAAGATGCCCGTAGTTGTGTGTTGCGAAAGGTTGAAAGAAAAAAATGCTCAACACGTGGACAAACCATGGACGGAAGCCTTGGTATCTAGCTAAGTGGGTCGCCCCGTGGTCTGTGCACTCTCTCTATGAGAGTTCTTTTACACGGAGTTGACATTTGAATTCCCCCCCTCCCCCCTGCTACTCATTGTGGGGCATTATCGCCACATTAATATCTCCATTTCAATGAACAGCCATCTCGAATCAATTCTCCACTGCCCTCAATTTGCCCTGATATTCCCCAGAACTCTAGTTGATGGTTCAACGTAAGTATTGGGGAGGGGGGGGGGGGGTACATAATAATGAGTAAATAGACGACACGAATTTGTAAAGAAAGTGTCACTTCTCTGATATTTTGTTTCAGTTGTTTGAGATACGACGTGAGATGGGCAGGTCTCTCCCACAAATGTAGTATTGTTTTGTTCAGCTTCAGTCTGTCGCATAACCAACTCAAGTTGTCTAAAAACGATGTAAATATGGTCTCGGGCAGTGTATGGGTAGGGGGCTGAAGTGCGTGTTAGAATTATTTGCTCGATGGAAATGGATATGGGTGAATATTTGAGTTGATGGATTTAACGAAAACTCAGTAGTTGTTTCAGATAATAGTTAAAAAATATATATTAAAGTTCGATAGACTCTCACCTTTGTTATATAAATGGCAACTGTGCATTATTGCACAGTTGCCATTTATTTCGGTCAATAAATTGCCTCTCTGTGTGTTGTACCGACGTGCGAGAAACTTTAGCGAGTAACACGAGCCGAAGTGATGGTCGTGGCAATGTTTATGATAACCGGGCTCCGTGTAAATCCATTGTCCACAAAAGTGTTATTTTGAAGCTCTTTGTCAATGAAAGCCTCCCCCACAACTGGGGTGGGCGTGGGGATCGTTTGGCCATGCTTCACCATGCTGGGCATCGAGGCTTTGTGAATGTCTGATCGGAGGTGCAGGTTTCACTCGCTCTGGACGCACACTCACATGCATTCATGCGAATGGAGGTTGAGACGTTGTGGATGGAAGCTGTCTGTGGCTCCATGGACAACAGCTTGTAGACCTGTCGAGTTGTGCATGAGACAGACACTCGGTCATCAACGTCATCAATGTAACAAGGCCAACGATGGGTTGTAACCAGTGGTCTAAATACACACGTAGGTATATCATCAAATATATCGGCATTTCTCAAAACACATTCCTGCGGAAGGAGCTGGTAGGAACCTTGGGTTGCTTGGTCAATGGCCAGGGTCAACGGTGTATTCCGCAAATATGCCCGACTGTGAGGACAGGCACAAGCCGGCGTGAGAAGGTTAAACGTCGAGTTTTATAAGGGCACCACGGGGTGACCAACCCCTCCCCACCGAGCCCCTCCCGTCCCACCCTCCCCACCCAGCCCCTCCCCACCCTTCCCTTCCTCCCCACCCAGCCCCACCCTCCCCACCCAGCCCCTCCCCACCCTCCCCTCCCCACCCAGCCCCTTCCTCCCCACCCAGCCCCTCCCTGCACGACGGACGGACACAATAATCCCTTGTGGGCTGGTGTAACCAGGAGGTTCCTACCAGTAAAACAAACATGTATACCAGCACTGTGCACAACGCATTTACCATCTTTGATGCAAATATAAAGGAGGTGTCGTCACAGCTAAAAGCCCCGCTACTCCTGACACAATCGCCTGGCTCAACTACCTCGATGTAAGACGATAGCTGTTGCTCTACATCAAGAAGAAGAAGAAGAGTGATTTGTGAGTAAGTTAATAAATATATGTATCTCTGCTCAAGCCGAGCTATTAAGCTTTGATATTTGTTAAGACTTTGTGCTGTTCGCCTTTTGGCGTTGTTATCTGGTCGAACACTGGCGGTGAGATGAGGCCATGAAGGAGGCTGTCTGTGGTGGAGGCCAATCAGTTTCAAGTACAATGCATACATTGTCAATGCACGTCTGTTTGCTTCCATGTTTTACCGCAAGCATGTGTGGTTAATGCAGACTTGATGATGACTTGATGATGACTTTAAATTGGTGCCTATTGGGAGTTTGAACATCATTAACACCTCCTGTATTATTGGCGTAAAGGGGTAAAGCCTCTTCTTATTTTTTGTCACGATTTAAATATTTGGCCAATCTCAATAAAAGGCTGGTGGCAGTGTTGGGCGCCGCCGTACCTGCACGTGCTGTGCGTCGCTACGCAGCACCAGCTCCTCGCGGATGCGGCTCTTGTCGGAGGAGATGACAAAGGAGCGCACGGCTCCCACCTCGTCCTTCCCGGGGTGCTCCAGCTCCACCGAGTCGTAGATCTTCCACCAACTCATGATTTCCTATTCCACCCGGGCGGGTAAACGAGGACGCGTGAAGCCACGCGGAGGGATGGAGAGAGCCGATAGGGTTGAAGGTGAGTGAGGTATTTTTTTTCTTTCCATTATCAATGTTGCTGAGCACAGGCCCAAGGGACCAAACTGCCAAGCGACCAGCAACAAACAGCACTACACTAGATCGAGTCAATGCGTATCCACGGTGGCGAGATATTAACTACCTCGCCTGGTATACAGGAGGTCGTGGGTTGGATCTCGACCCTGACGCCTGCTGTATATTTTGATTTTGCATGTCTCTCTCCCCGTGGTCGCGTGGATTTTTTTTCTGGGTCCTCCGGAATTTCCCCTCCACAATTATAATCAACATTACGCATTTTAGAGTTTGACTGCTATACATTCCACATGATAAGCCATTTCGTTGAGTTATCATTTTTGGCCAGGTTGCTTCTGAAAAATAGCTATACAGCTCAGTGGGTCTTACCTGAAAAAAAAAGGTTTAGTTTGAACTAACCAAGGTTAATAGGAATGTGGGGAAAACAGATGATGGGAGGACATTTCCAAAGTCAAGCAGTGCGAGGAAATAAGAAGTGAAATATATAGCTGCAAGTGTGGTGGTTGAACACTGTGTGGATGAGATGCCCCAAGTGTAGGAAAAGGTCGAGTAATTATGTTGCATATTTATCTTGCAAAGCCTCAACGAATAAAAAAATCGTACTCAGCAGGGTTCAGCATTTGCATTGATTAATTGCATTTATTCCGAGCAGGCAAGAGCCCATTGAGACCACACGTCTAATTTCAATTGATTAAAACACAAACAGTCAAAATGCAGAGATGAAACAAGTGGCAGGAATACACGATGTGAAGGACTTTTTGCTTTTGCTGACTCGGAGATCGTGTACGTATTTAATCAACAGGGGACTTGTAGACGTTTCGATATTACCAAAATGCGATAGATCTCCTGCAATCTCGGCAGGATTGAGCATGGTTGGTGCTCGGATGAGTGACCATCGATGCTTGTGAGATGTAAGTTTGGGGCTGTGAGGTCTGGGGTTTCTTTGGGCACTCCAGTTCCTCCTACATGAAAACCAACAACCATTATGGAATTGGCCAAACATCCTAATGCCGTACCTTCCTCTAAATGAGTCTTGAGACAAGCTTTCCTTGGTACAAAACTGGAATTATTATAATTTTTCTCAGATTGAGCAAAGAGGGTGTGAACAAGGTACTAAGGCTGATTAGAGACACTTTTTCACTGAGCAAAATTAATTTAAATATTAACTCCCGCACCTCCAATTTTAGCACAGTTGGCTACATAAGGTGCGAAAGAAGTAAACATACATATGTAGAGACGTAAATAGCATCTCTATGGCGTATAGGCCGACTATAACCACAACTGGTGAATGAGTGCGCACATACCTCTCGATGGGGCCGACGGAGACGTGACGGGGAAGAAAGCCCTACAGAGCAAGGTCCCGTCGCAGAGAAAGAGAGGGGGGGACGTGCCGACACGGAGTAGTGAAGGGGACCTGGAAACGGGGGCCTGGAGGACACGTGACGCTGGCTCCGGTTCCGTCGCGAGAGACCGAGCAAGGGGCGTGGCCGGATGCGGAGCGAGGCCACGCCCGGGAGGATAAGAGG